GAGACAATGCGTTTGAGCCAGAGCTCATTCATACTACAGTGTAAATGACTAACAGCGGGTCTTTCCCTGAGCATGGGGCAAGGGCTGTATGAGACGTGCAAAGTGACCTGCTGGTGACACAGATAGACTCACAGACTGTGAGTTACTGAATGTGTGGCACAGAAGAGCTGGTGGACAAGGAATGACACCACAGTGGTCATTTGCTGTGGAACAGATCAAGACACTGAGCCAATCAATTCAGCAAAGCTGTTAGAACAGACTCAGGATCAAAGAGTAGATAACCCAGAGTCCAGCTTTAGAGGGGACCAGCTGTCCTCAAGTACATGATCCCCCAGAAAGAGGAAATATAAACAGGATTTAAATCCACAAACCTAAAATACTGTAAGGCCCTGGGGATGCTCTATCCACCTCTCTCCCCACTGACATCCAGGAAGGTGAAGTGCAGCAAGAGAGATGTAAGTTAAACTCAAGCAAGAACTGCCTGACCATGGAGGGATGGAATGTGGGTGTGAAACTGGTGACTCGGAGTCAATAAGAACAGGGTCTGAGGGTGGTTCTGAGGATTTGCCCAGGTGGCAGGGCCTGGTGGGTCACTGCCCTGGTGTGACTGACCTGTCGTCCCCAGTCTGCCTCATCGGGAACGCACCTGGTGGGGTATGAAATGCACACATTTATGGGCGTTTTGTAAAGTCAGGTTCTGCAGAACTCTCGGGATCTGGGCTTCCATTTCCTCATGGAGTCTTTCTTATTTACGTGCCTTCTTAACCCTGTGCCAGGTCGAGGGGCCGCCGGGTCACCCAGGTGGTGCGGGACTTTCTCCATGCCCAGCGGGTGCAGCCGCCCGTGGAGCTGTTTGTGGACTGGCTGGCCGTGGGCCACGTGGACGAGTTCCTGAGCTTTGTCCCTGCCCCGGACGGGAAGGTGAGACTCGGTGGCAGGCCCCTCCCGGCATCTGGGGCAGGGGCAGGGCTGCAGGGGCTGAGCCGGGCCGGGCCGGGGCTCAGCCGTCCACGCTCCACACACAGGGCTTCCGCATGCTGCTGGCCAGCCCCGCCGCCTGCTTCAGGCTCTTCCAGGAAAAGAAGAAGCGGGGCCACGGCAGGTCCCTCCTGTTCGAGGGTGTCATCGGTGGGTAACGGTGCTGCGTCACGAAAGAAGGGACACGGTGGCTTCAGAGAGGGATGGCTGGTTTTAAAGCAGTGCTGTCCCCCCAGATTCAGGACCCCTGACTCCAGCCACTGCTGCCCGTGTTGGGCAGAGCTGAGGCAGGAGGGTGGGGACCGTCCATATGGGTGGGCATGGAGAAATTGGGGACATAGCCCGCCTGTGACCAGTACAGTTGCACCAAGCTTTCTGTTAGAAGGTTCTGGAACTTGGAGTTCAGTGTTCTGTGTCACCTTCTTGGATCCTAAGGACTTGTGTTTTGTAAGTGAAGTCCGAGGGGTAAATCAGGCATGAGCTGAAGACTTGCAGCCTCTGCCTCCCAACCTCCCTGCCTCCCCAGATGGGCTCTCTGCTGCCCACTCCCTTGTCCTCCGGATCCCAGCTGCCAGGTCTCCCTGACTCTGTCACCGCCCGGGGACACTGTGGTCCTATTCCCCCAGCAGGAGCTTAGGCCTGGGATCTGCCTGCAGGGACATGTGCTGGGGGCTTGGCCGGGGTGAGCCCGCAGCAGCGCATGGCCGGTGAGGGGCTCCCACGCTCTGATTGCAGCGGGCCGGGTGGGGTGGCGGGCCTGGGGGGAGGGGCGGGCCTGGGGGGAGGGGCCTGGAGCCCTCCAAGATGCACAGTTTGCGGGTCTCATTCAGGGGCTGCCTGGCCACTTGTGCGCTGGGCACATGCACCAAGTCAGGGCTCCGCCTCTGGGTGCTGTGAGGGTCCACCCTGTCCCATGTATGTCCCAAGCTCAAAGGAGTGCCACATCAAATAACAAGTTGAAAACCCTGTGGCAGGCTGAGAGGTGGCAGGAGCAGCGGCTGTGGGTCAGTACCCCGAACGGCTCCTTCCTCCTGCTGTTTGAACGAGGAACCCACGTTTCCGTGTCTCACAGGAGGGGTTTGGAGGGGCAGGGCCACCGTCTGGGCCAGCGTGCAGGGGTGTCTGCCAACTCCTCCCCCTCCCGTCCCCACTGTGACCACCTGATCCCCAGGGGGACCTTCCTGAAGCCTGGGGTCCCTGGGTCTCAGGGCAAAAGCCCCTTTGCCATTGGAGCATGGATTCTCCTGGTCCATGGCCACCTGCGTAGGCACATGACCCCGAGACCAAAGCTACCCCAGAGAGGAGACTGCAGGGTCCCCAAGTATCCTCCCTGCCCAAGTGCCCCGGCCTCTGTGCTGACGTCACCCTGTGCCCAGCACGACACTGGGACCGGCCATAAAGTAGAAGCCCATAATTCCCAGTCCATCGCTCCCAAAGGGACCGCGGCTCGATTCCCGTGAACCCAAAGTAAACCTTAAAAATCCTCCAGTCCAGAGCGGCCGGGCCAGGCGGGGCGGGGCAGGGAGTGCCCCCTCATCTTCCCTGGGGGACCAGGTTCACGGTGAGCTGGCCCAGAATCAGGTCGAGAGGAGTTACCCCAGGCCACGTGGCCACCGTACTCAGGGCCGACCCACAGGCGTGGTCATGGCTTCACAGAGGTAGAGGTGGCACCAGTATTAGGCACCCAGGTGTGCCACACCCCATGCTTGGTGCTCGTGGACATCACCACCCTGATCCCCAGAGACCTGGGAGGATTCCAGCCAGCCCCCTTCAGACCCCAGGAAGGGGAGGCGCAGAGGGGGGAGGCACTGGCTGGAGGGGGCAGCTGAGCTGGGGCAGCAATGGAACCAGCTGCCTCCACCTGGGCTGGAGGAAGGGAACCACAGGTGTATGTGTGCTGCAGGGAGCCCTCCCCTCCCCCTCTCCAGCCTAAGGCCCTGTGACCACTGAGCCCCCAAGCCCCAGCTGTATGACCTTGGGTGAGTCGTCTGGCCTCCCCAGCCTCGTCTCCTCATCTGTAAAGTGGAGATGATAAGGCGTACCTCGTAGGGTGAGACTCCTGAGATGCTGGGCGCTGGACTCAGGGCAGCACAGGCCAAGTGCAGGTGACCAGTGAGGACTGCGAGCGGTCGTCCTATCCTCCCTGCACCTGTCCGGCCATCTCCATGGGACCCCATCAGGCAGCAGGAAAGCTGGGCTTCTGGGGAGCCACCTCCTGCAGGGCAGGCCAGGGCCTGATGGTGTCCACTCCCAGAACTCGCTGATTGACTGCTCAGAGAGCCGACAGAGGTCGGCCCTGGGGTGGGGGCGGACAGCGACGGACCCAGGTCCCCTCAGCCAAAGGAAGAGCAGCCGCTACTCAGCGCCCTGGGGGTTGCAAATTTCCAACTCAGCGCCTTCCTACTTCCAGCGACTCAGTAAGCCTAGGGCTCACGGAACAGAGGCGGCGGGACCCCGACTTCTGCGGTCCGTCCTGGACTTGCAGAAGGCCTTGCGTGTGCAGGAGTCAGAGAGGCGTGAACTTGGCCTTTGCCCGTGTGCCTCCCAGAGCCAGTGGCCCTCTGTCTCTCCCCTCCACAGGCAATGGGCGGGTCAGGACCATCTCCATCAACCAGGTCCTTTCCAACGAAAACCTCATCAGCTTTAATAAGTTTGTGCAGGTACAGAGGCGTGGCTGTGAGTGGGAAGTGGGCGGGGCTCGGGAAGGAGAGGGCGGGGCTTGGGGCAAGAGGCAGGTCAGAAAGTGGGCGTGGCTCGGGACAGGAGAGGGTGGGTGGATAGTGGGCGGGGCTTGGGCCAAGGGGCGGGGTGGAAAGTGAGCGGGGCTCGGGACAGGAGAGGGTGGGTGGAGAGTGGGCGGGAATTGGGACAGGGGCGGGGTGGCAAGTGGGCGGGGTTTGGGACAAGAGGCAGGTCAGAAAGTGGGCGTGGCTCGGGAAGGGAGTGAGGTGGGGAAGTGGGCGGGGCTCTGGACAGGAGAGGGCTGGGTGGGAAGTGGGCGGGGCTTAGGACAGGGGTGTGGGCGAGGCTCGGGACCGGAGGGGCAGTATGGAAAGTGGGTGGGACTCGGAACGGGAGCAGGGTGGAAAGTGGTCTAGAAACAGCAAGGGCGGGGCTTGGGTAGCAGGGGTCGGAGACTCACAGTTCAGGACAGCCCAGGCTGGAATGGCCCAGACACAGGGGCTCCAGTGCCCACCTTCCTCCTGGGAGAAGGTGTGAGTGTTGTGCACCTGAGGAAGACAGGCAGCCATTGGCTGTGAGCATCCACAGAGGTGTGACCTCAGGGAGGGTTGGAAGTCCACGAGGAGCATCACCGAGACCACCATGTGGGCAGGAGGAGAGGAGGCGAGAGACCAGTGGGCAAGCCGCTTGGTCACCCAGGCAGAGGGCTGGACTTTAGACCAGACAGAGGCAGTGAAGGCGGTGGGAAGTGGCCATGTCAGGGGCAGGTTCTACGGGTAGTGCCCCCAGGACTTGCTGTTGGATTGGACACAGAGGTGGGAAGGAAGGAGAGAAAGACAGCAGACTTGTGGCTAGGCAGCCAGGGAGAGCTGGAGAGCTCTGCAGAGCAGCTGGCTTGGGGGTAGAGATAAAGAGTCCATCTTGGGACCCATCTGAGCAGAGATGCCAAGGGGGCGGTTGTCCTCGCGAGTCTGAGCTCAGGACATAGACAACCCTATACAGAGAGGGGCAGATAGAAACTTGGGACCTGTCAGTGTTTTAATGTAGAGACTGAATGAGATCCCTAAGGAGGGAGGATTTCAGAGAAGAGGGTCAAAGATGGAACATTCCAGAACCCTCTCAGTTTAGCCAGTGGGGCATAGAGCAGGTATATCTCCACCAAGGGGCACAGAGGTGAGGTTTGTGTGGAGGGTTGATCCGTGGGCACGCGGTCCTCATGCCCCTGCTCAACTGCGTATGCCCCCAACACACATGGCAAGGTGTCCCCAACTCGGCCCCTCCCACCCCCAGAGCTGCATCGACTGGAACCGCGAGGTGCTGAAGCGGGAGCTGGGGCTGGCCGACCGCGACATCATCGACATTCCGCAGCTCTTCAAGTCTGAGAGGAGAAAGGCCACCGCCTTCTTCCCGGATTTGGTGAGGCCCCCACCTGGGACCTGGGCCTTCCTACAATGAGGCTCCAAGCCTCTGTCCCCCAAGCGGGGACACGTTTAATGGCAGTCATGTTTGGGATTGTGGTGGCTGGAGATTGGTCTGACGCCATGGCTTACGGTGGCTGTCCGTCATGGTCCCTGCAACTGGCCAAGCCCTGGCTCGAGGGCTGATGTTGGTGGAGTGAAGGGATATTTGCACCTGGGTTCCTGGGGCTATTCTGTCCCCGTCCTCCGGCTCGTGACTGTGCAACACCCACGTCTATCCTGACGTGGTTCCAGATGGCCCCGCTCTCAGGAGCTTGCACTCTGATCCGTGGAGAGGGACACTCTCGTCACCTCTGAAAACCAGTCCCGTGATCTACTTCTATTTCTATTTCAGTTGGGAGGGGAGGGCGAGTGCCCCCAGTTTAGGGGGTAGGAGTGGCGGTCCAAGAAGGCTTCCTGGTAGGGGCCTCATTGAGCCCTAAGAGGCTGCCCCCACCTGGCCCTCCAAGTCTTGCATCTGAAACACACACCTGGGGCCCACTGGGTCCGGGTTCAGCAGCCTGAGGGAGGGTGCGGGAGGCTGCTGCAGCTCGATCCGCCCCCAGGTGGCGCTGGCGTGCCCTTGGGTCACCTGCTCTCCCTCCTTCCCCCAGGAGCTGAAAGCCGCGGGGCCTTTCCTCACCACCTTTGCTTCACCTCCTTCCTGCCTCTCTGGCTCTGCCTCTTCCTTCCCGTGGCCCTGCGAGGTGCCCCTGGAAGCTTGGGCAACGTTCCGGTTCTTGGGTTGGCAAAACGGAAGCTTAGAGGCTCTCCGCAGCCGGCCCCGGCCAGAGGGAGACTTGGCAAAAGGACACTGCGTAACCTGAGGGCAGGGACAGTGGCAGAGGGCCACAGGAGGGCCTGGGCCTTTCTCCTCATGCCCTCCCCGTCCTTCCCGGGTGCTGGCTTTGCTGCCCTCCCCTGGGACAGATCTGGATATGGCCGCCTCATTGGGTCCCGCATAGGGTCAGCTCCGACCTGGGTTAGGGTGGGGGTTCCGCGGGGCCGGAGCTGTCGATTCAGCGCTGTCCCCCCCCCCTGCAGGTGAACATGCTGGTGCTGGGGAAGCACCTGGGCATCCCCAAGCCCTTCGGGCCCCTCATCAACGGCCGCTGCTGCCTGGAGGAGCAGGTGCGCGCCCTGCTGGAGCCGCTGGGGCTGCACTGCACCTTCATCGACGACTTCACGCCCTACCACATGCTGCACGGCGAGGTGCACTGCGGCACCAACGTGCGCCGGCAGCCCTTCGCCTTCAAGTGGTGGCACATGGTGCCCTGAGCCCGTCCCCCAGCCCCCCCTCCCCCCCCA